CTTGGTCAATCGTTTGAGCATATATTTTTGTAGAAAAATTCAAATAAAACGATTCAAGTTGCATATGAAATATTACTCAATGGTCTATAAATCATATGAAGATACCATGACGATAATGTGAGAAAATCAAGGTGAAAAAGTTAGAAAGTCAGATAACCGCTATTGAGATTTCACGATGCGACCATCCACCATTTCATCCATATTTTTTGTGTGAACGGTCCAATTCCAATTTTGCAAGTTATAGTGGATAGAGGACTGCATTGACTACAACTTTGCTGAAAGGAGCATAGCCTAATTCAGACGAGAGGTGCGCACGAGTTGTGTACGTGACAGAGAATGACCGGAATTCACCCCAAACCTGATTATTTATATTTAAACAGCCTGTAAATTTCAGTTTTATAGGAGGGAGCTTAGAGATAGATCATATGAGAAATTTTCATTGGTTTTCAGCCTTGAGCAACAAAATTTTGGGATTGTTTAAGTTCTTTCTTTTTAATTAATGACAATTAATACTTTCATTCTAAATTCTGTTGATTCTTCAATTAGGAATTGTGAGTAGATTTAATTAGGGATTAAAATTGATGAAGGGGTGTTCATCATGACCTATTATTTAATGTTGGTGGTTTAATTGCATGATTATTTTTAATTTGTGTTTAAATAATTTAATTTTATTGATAGCTTTCGTAATCATGGAATGACCACTAGATTATAATTGCACATAGAATAATTTAAGAGGAATCTAAATTATTCTAATACATTTTTACACACACCTAATAAGTAATAACCAGGTAAGAGATTAGAATGGTCAGGGACCTGTACGATCGCTCGTTTTGGCAATAGTTCAAAAACCTGTCGAATGAGAGATCAACATGGTTCCCTAAATTATTGTACTCTACACCGCGAGAACGGTAAAACTTAGTATTGACTTGGGTTGTTCAATCAAATAATTTTCATGTGATTAAGTCTGATGAGGCTCGCAATCTGATTGTCCCAGAATCAATCCATGTTCTCCTATTGTCATTAATTCGAAAGAGTCTTTTAATTTAGTTGTATTTTCTGTCGCATTTAATTCCAAAACCCAACCTTGCACAACCACATGTATTTATTTATATTTTAATCGTTGAACTTATTTAATACTTAATTCCATTTTTCTGTCCCTGTGGAGACGATATTTGTACTTATACCCTATACTGCTACACGTATTTTAAGTGCGAGAAAACTCAAATCAAATACGTAATTATTTCTTCAAATAATGGCATAGTATAGTATTTGACCAGTTTATCCCCATAGCTAAATTACGTTCACCAAACGGCTAAATGACATGTAGATTACTACTAAAGTTTTCTCGAACAAAAATAAAACTAATTATGTTTTTGGACAAAAATATGACTAGTCACTATGTACGAGCCACTATGAACTAGCCGCTATAGTGTATTTCAGAATGACAAGTTATTGTAGATGATGAGTCAACGTGATCTAGTCAATACATTTGTCACCTTTTGGAAAATTTTAAAATAAATCATATTTTTGTCCTTCAAATTTAATTTGGTACGGAGTAATATTCATGGGGAAAAAAGTTTCAGCGGACGGCACACACCTAGACCTCTCTAGGGTTGCGTGAGTTTTTTCGGCGGCTTTTGTTCGTCATCGGAAGAAGACCCACAGAAGGGTGAAGCACTAGGGAATACGAAGAAGACACCGACAAGTGTAGAGAGGAGCACATCTGCGGCAACTGCTGCAGCGGAGGTTGGTGACGGGAACATGCAAGCAACATAGCATAAGTGAAGGGAAATCGGCGGCAGGGGAGTCACTCTCAGACGAAGGTGGAATTGTGTGGTGGTGTAGGAGTAGGCGGCATCGAGACACTTGGCCAATCATGAGGAATGGGGAAGGTCCAGGATCAGAACAACGTACTCATGGCCTATGGCGGTGATCGTATACGGGCAAACCAGATTCAGGGATCGCGTGGAACGTCTTGCTTGATGTGGCATGGAGAATCCCATATTCAGGTAATGGAGGAAGAAAGCGAAGAGATGGGGATCCATCCCCCTCCCGAACCGCCGTTATGGAGGAACTTTGCGACAAGGGTTTGGAAGACTGTTTTACTTTTTTCTTTTTGTTATTTTCAGTCCAGACTGTTTCACTATTTCTATTTTGTTATTTTTATGTCAAACAATAAGGGGTAGATTGGTTTTTGGTATGTTTTAGCTGATAGATTTCTATTTGGAGGCAATCAGGCTGACTCAACCGCTATTAACATCTATGCTCTCATCGTTTTAGCGATTAGTCTCGCTCTAACCCTTATGGACTATTCTATTTCTGATCATGACATGAGGGGTACATGGGCTTTTGGGATTGTTTGAAAAGATGGAGATGTAGATCTTGGAACATGATTGTTGCTTTGGTTTGTTTGAGTTTAATATAAGCTATTTTCTTTCACAAAAAAATCATGGAAAAGGCCTAAACCAATACTACGTATAACATAGTAATGGGTCAATCACATATCAAATTATGGCACAGTATTTGCATTTGGCCAGTTAATCGGTTAATCCCCCATAGCTAAATTACTACAGGTCATGTTTGGGGGTTTTGATTTTTTTTTTCTAAACTAATGTTAAAACAAAAATTTACTTACAAAATTAGAGTCAAGTTAAATGCATGTACCATTAACGAAAGGTAACTCAGTTAACGTCTTTCCTTGAACAAAACAAGAAGACAACCAATGTGTCAGTGTCACAGAAAGAGATGTGAAAAGAAATTTTTTTATGATCTATGAATCTATCATATACATCAATAATACATATACAAAATTTGAAAAATATGTATTAGCCCCATCAATCCATTTCTTCCCTCCGATGTAGCAAAATCAACATATTCACATAATCAATACGACAATACGTAGTACTCCGTATATGTTTACCATACGGTGTGCCAGTGTGGTTGTAACTTATGCATCTAGCTTTTGTCAATATTTTTAACAAAAATGTGAAGATCCAGTTTTTAGGCTATTTTTTAAAGTCCTCCTATATCTAAAGCAAACCCCGGGCCACTAATGACTCGGAGAAGTCATCATTGTAAGCAAGACGTGTAAGCAACCCGTTTCCCTACTCATTCTTTTTCGCCAATTAGAGGGGCTAGCTTTGCTTCAAGACAACATACTTCGTATTTTCCAGTTTAAATCAATTACTCTATATAATATTGCAATTTGCAAATGGATATTATAGATTAGGAGTTTGTTTGATAATACTCAAATCGGCTGCATTCGTTGATTATGTTAAAATTTATAAAGTTTTGGATGAAGTGGCTGAGTTGGCTGATTATGCTGATTTATGAAAAAATTATATTTAATTGATAAAATAATGAAAAAATTCATTATAAAATAGATAAAATAGTCATCTACAGTAACTTTCAGTTCATACAATCAGAGAGTAACTTCAACATTATTTTTCCTATTATTACACAGTTCAGCGTGCGAAATCAAAAGTTACGTGTTTGGTGAAAAAGTTGGCTGATAAATCTGATAAGATGAAAAATAGAATCACCAAACGGGCTCTAAGTTCGAGAATATAAAAAGAAGATACTGCACACTAATTTTCTTATATATCACACATTTATAAATTCCGGATCTTGTCTATAGTCTCATCATGAATAAGTACTACATTCATCCAAAATTGTTTTCTAAAGTCAACATTTTTTAGGCAATCAATGTGAAAATTAAATATGTCTTATTTATTATTAATTCAATTTTAATAATTAAAATTTACGTATTCATAAACTACATTAAAATCTCTATAAAGTTGCAAAGTTTAAGTCAAAATATAACTAAGAATTGATATTATATACGGAGTATAATTAAGTGAATAGAATGAATCTGTTTAACTAATAAAAGTCAATTTTGCCACTCAATTTGAGATAGAGGAAATATATATGCAACACATAAAGCATGTATCACTTTCATATGGATTTTGTCTTTGAATTAGTGTATGAATGACACTTTGATACTTTGCTTTGATTTTTATCATTTTTAATCCCTTAAATGTTGTGATAGAAACACTTTGTGCTCATTAAAAAAACACATAGAGGCCGTTTGGCAACACTGATTTTCGGCTTATCAGGCTTATCAGCCAGCTTTTTCACCAAACACGTAATTTTTGCTTTCGCGCGCTGAATTGTGTAATAAGCAGAAAAAGTAAGGTTGAAGTTACTTTTCTGGTTGTATTGGCTGAAGTTACTGTAGATGACCATTTTAGATATTTTTGCATATAACTTTTTCTTTATTTTATTAATAAAATATATTTTAAAGATAATTTGTTCTTAAATCAGCGGAATCAGCCAATGCAGCCACTTCAGCCAGAACTTCATAAATTTCAGCAGAATCAGCCAAAACAGCCGATTTTCGTGCTACCAAACGGGCTCATAGTTTTTAGACTTTTTATAAAAGTGACATTTTCTATCATTGCATATCTTTTTTCACGATAAGTGAAAAATTAAAAATGTCACTGATGATAGTTGAATGGCTAAAATTGTCCTTTTTTTCTCTCTCCTCCAGTTGTCCAGACAGGATCCTCCTTCCGACCGCCATAGTTTAGGGTGGTTGCCAGTAGAAATTTTCGAGCATGTTCTTCATTCCCAAAGTCTTCCCGTTTAAGTTGTTGGCATGGTCCAAAGATTTTTTGATTTCCTTTAAGTTAAAAATTCATTCAATCCCATCCATATATTGTGGAATGATATTCCTTTAATAAACGTAAAATGTGGCAAGTTTTTTTGGCAGAGATGGAATGTGATAATTCAGTACATTTTTGCCTGTGTTTGGGTGGGGGTGATAAAAAGTCAACCTGTTATGGGAAAAATGAATAAGTGAGAGTTGACCGAAGATTAGTGAAACAGAGCAAAAAGAACAGGGGAACTTAACTAATTAACCACTCCGTTGCTAGCGATTCAACTCAATTAATTAATTGAATAAATGCAGTGAAAAAGTGATGGAAGGAAGTAGAATCAGAAAAAAAGTTCCGCTCGCTCGCTAGCGCCGTGCCGTCGTCGTCTCGTCTATATAAAGCAAAGCAAAGCAAAGCCCCATCGATAACGAACGAACCAAAATATCTCTTCCCACTCCGTTAGTCAGTAGCACATTAAGCAGATTAATTAATTCATAATATCTCGCCGGCCGTCGTTACGATGGTTCGCTACGCCACCGCTGCTCTCCTCATCCTTATCTTCTCGATCATCGCCGCCTCCCACGCCCGCAGCTTCCTCAAACTACCGTCCGACGCCGCCAGGTTCTTCCGCCCCGCCGCGGAGGAAATCAGAGGAGCCGACCCTGTGGGGACTCGGTGGGCGGTCCTTCTAGCGGGATCCAATGGTTATTGGAACTACCGCCATCAGGTGATTTGATTTTTCACCCACTGTTTATACATACACGGCAGCTTTCTTTCATGTTTCTGCAAGTGATTTGATTTCAATGATTTTTTTGCGTGGCAGTTAAGAAACCTAGCTTCATCAACAAGTTAACTTCTTCTTTATGCCACTCATAGTTTATTTTAAACCTGGCTTATTTCACGCCTCTTCTTCTAACTACTTTTTCGAATTTGTTCTTTCACTGTTCTTTTCTTTGACGTGTTCAATCCAAAGACGGTAATTAAGGGATGAGGAATATTATACAGTACAGCTTTTCGGCAAATAACTCATTACTTTCGTTAATTTTACTACTCATAGGGCAGCTGGCCCCCACCACTGCCTGCCTCACTACGAACCTTTGTCTACCAAATAGTTCCAGTTTAGAAATGAAACATACCGTATCTTCGGTTGGGACCATTAACTGAACTACAGAATTAGTAGATCCAAGGCTGTACTTTTTCCCAATTTTTTGAAGCTAATTGCCTTTTGTTTTTTTTGGTTAATTGTTTGAGACGATGAAGGATTGTGATTGTATTTTTGATCTTTTTCCAGGCTGATATTTGCCATGCCTATCAGTTATTAAAAAAAGGCGGCCTCAAGGATGAAAATATAGTTGTATTTATGTATGATGACATTGCGCACAATGAAGAGAACCCCAGGAAAGGGATCATCATCAACAGCCCTCATGGTGGCGATGTTTATCAAGGAGTTCCTAAAGTAAGTTTCTACCCTCAAACATGAACTAACTAGCATATATCTAACCTTAAAGGTCTCCTCTTACATGGTCTAATTTTATGGGGCAGGATTACACAGGGGATGATGTTACTGTTAGCAACTTTCTTGCTGTTATCCTTGGAGACAAAACTGCCGTTAAAGGCGGCAGCAAGAAGGTTGTTGATAGTGGTCCAGACGATCATATATTTATTTATTATTCTGATCATGGTGGCCCTGGTGTTCTTGGTTAGTATCTACAGAGTATTTTCTAATGCTTTGTTCTGTTACAACCTGGGGTGCTGGTTTCGTTTTTACACAGTATTCTTTAGCCACATTAACTTGATATTCTATTCACCCACCTCGACAGAAGGCGTGATTTGCACATTTTTGTGCTTTGGAATTTATGATGTTGTTAGTTTGCTTTGATAAAGTTGCCTTCACATTGGTCAATAAAAAGAGTCATGTTTCATCAAGGTCCAATGCTTTAATTTTAGTGAGGTACATTACTGGAAGCCTCCAATTAGAGCTATATACGGAGTATTTAACTTTCTTTTGTTTGTAAAACTAAAGTTAGCATATTTAACTCGTTTGGAACACCTTTATTTTTTGGGGAAATTACGTTGGATTAAATGAAAACTAGCTTCTTATGTTGAAACTAAATTTTGAGTTGGCTTCTTTTGTTTGTAAAACACTAAAACTAAATTTAGCGTACACAACTTGTTTGTAGAACTTTCTTTTTTGGGAAAAATTACATTAACTTCAATCTTTTGTTGAAACCAGACTTTTTTAAGAATAAAGATAAGTTTTAATTTAGGTTCTTTTATTTGTAAAACTAAAATTAGCATATTTAATTAAGGAGTAGTTTGTTTTAAACACTTCCTTTTTTGGGAAACTACATTAATTTCAATGAAAGTTAGCTTGTTTTGAGAAAACAAGACTTTATGCATCAGTTGTCAACGTGTCATCATACATGAAATCCTTAATATCACCTTCTTGTAGCAAGCTCGTGTCAATATCAGCTCAGTATCCTATTATCACTCATCGTCAGTGGTCCCTCTCTGTCCAGTTTTATTTTCTCATTCTGGGCCTGTGGGGTTTTCTTTTGGTTCTTTGTAGAATTGAAACTATATGCAACACCAATGCACTAAACACGTGTCAACTAGTACTTGTTGTCTCATTCTAGGTAATCTGGTTAATGCTTTAATTCATATATTCTGATTATTAAGTGGCAATAAATTCAGGTATGCCCACCAGTCCTTATCTCTACGCTGATGAGCTGAATGCTGCCTTGAAAAAGAAGCATGCTGCTGGAGCATATAAAAGTTTGGTAATTATTCTGTATTAAATTTATTGGCCTTCCCTTACTAGTTCCGTTTGTTATCATCTAAAATGCTGAATGTTTTGGGCTCGTCATTTAATATCAGGTATTCTATCTAGAGGCGTGTGAGTCTGGGAGCATCTTTGAGGGTCTTCTGCCTCAAGGTTTAAATATTTATGCAACAACAGCTTCAAACGCTGAAGAGAGTAGCTGGGGGACGTACTGTCCGGGAGAGTTTCCAAGTCCTCCTCCAGAATATGAGACTTGCTTAGGTGATTTGTATAGTGTTGCCTGGATGGAAGATAGGTACTCATGTTCATTATATGCTTCTTTCCCCATTCAAGCCCCCCCACTTTATATATCCATCAATATGGATGATTACTACGTCCAACGTAAAAAGTTATCCTGCTTTCGTACCAGTTGTTTGTTTGAGGTGTGATAATTTCATTTTATTAATCTATACCTACCTGAGGGGAAGTGAAAGTGATAATATACAAAGAAATAGTGAAATACCCTCTCCGTCCTAAAAAAGTCTTGTTTGGTCAATGGAGAGATTTTTAATTTTGACAAGGTACAATTCTTTGAAATCATGGAATGCAATTATGTTTTCAAATTGTTTATTTCAGGTTAATCCATATTGATTTAACTTGGATTTTTTTGTCTAATCTCATGGGAAATTAGTTTCATTTTATGAAATACTCTGTATATGACTATTCTTTTGAAACATGATTATTTTAAGAACATACACATTCAAAAAAGCTTTTGAAACACGAGTACATAGTTTATAACTAAAGATATTGCCACGCTTTGATATAACAGCGGAATACCAATTCATGGGGATAAATGAGTAAACCCATATCATATCATCACTCTTCCCCTTAAAAATACCCAAACCAAACAAGGCTTGTCCTGTAAAAGCTAGATATAGTGATCATAACCTTGTGTGCTCAAATACCATATCGTATGCAGAGAGAGAGGGGTATGTCTTATTGTCAGCAAGTATATTCATTTTTCTGTAGTGATGCTTATAATGTCTTATATTCATGACCAGTGACAAACACAACCTAAGGACTGAATCGCTGAAGCAGCAATATCGCCTGGTAAGTGCCCACAGGAACATGGTTTGTACTCCTTGATCGATTTAAGGAGACGTTTGGTTCACATATCAGAATTTGCATCGGAATCATAATTAACATATTGTTTGCTAGTGAACATGAGTTGAAACCAAATTACTGGTGGATAATTGCAATAAGGGAAAATATTCATGTAAGGTAGGCCTAAAAGTTAAAATTTTAGGTCTCTTTCAGTTGAGGGACTTCCGGGATGATTTTTTTGATGAAATTTTGTGAGAATGTTCTACATGAAGTGTATATTATATCTCTACCAAATTTCAGATTAAAATTTAATCGGAAAGTTACTTAAATATTTTTTTTTAAAATTGGGCAGTTTTTATACATATAACATGCAGTTTTTTTCAATAATTTAGTTAACTGACTTCCCAATTGAATTTTAAGTTGAAATTTGGTGGACATAACATACACTTAATGGAGAACATTCTCACAAAATTTCATCAAAAAATTTGACCCGGAAGCACTTTGAATGAAAGAGGCCTAAAACTTGTAAGTTTTAGGCCTACCTTAGGAGAACACACTCCCCTTGCAATAAGTAGTTAGTACACCTGAATTGGAAAGAAAATTTTGAGCATCATAAGGCTCAAAATTTAACGACAGTTCTTTCCTTTTATTTGTTTCTTGGTCTTTACATAAAGCTTATTGGAAAGAAAATTTTGAGCATCATAAGGCTCAAAATTTAACGACAGTTCTTTCCTTTTATTTGTTTCTTGGTCTTTACATAAAGCTTATTGGAAAGAAAATTTTGAGCATCATAAGGCTCAAAATTTAACGACAGTTCTTTCCTTTTATTTGTTTCTTGGTCTTTACATAAAGCTTATTGGATGATTTCGCATATATACTATCTTCTTTAATCCTAAAACAAATATATCATTAGACATTCACACTCACAGGTAAAGGATAGAACTCTCGGTGGTAACTCTGCCTATGGATCCCATGTGATGCAATACGGAGATCTAGACATCACCAAGGATTCCCTTTTCCTGTATATGGGTACGAATCCTGCAAATGAGAATTACACCTTTGTGGATGAAAATTCATTGAGATTTTCAAAAAGGGCGGTGAACCAGCGTGATGCTGACCTTTTGCATTTCTGGGACAAGGTTAGCTTTATCGCATTCAATAATTATAAGTTGCGAAGTATATGGGATGAGGGCCTGTTTAGAATTCGGAAGATTCTAGGAAACAGAAAATTGAAGGGAAATTTGACCAATTTCGAAGAAGCTGACAAGGTTCATTTCAATACTTGCAGTTGCGCAATGCCCCAGAAGGCTCTGCGAGGAAATCTGAAGCTCAGAAACAATTCACAGAAGCCATTTCACACAGAATGCACTTAGACAACAGCATTGCACTTATTGGGAAGCTCTTGTTTGGAATTGAGAGAGGTCCTAAGGTGCTGAACAAGATCCGTGATCCAGGCCTACCCCTCGTCGATGACTGGAGCTGCCTCAAGTCATTTGTAAGTGTACTATATACACTTTTTAGGATGATGTTCTTCTTTTGAGATATGCATGGGTCATGGATGTCTTATATGATGCCACCTGGAAACTTCTGGAGTAGTATTTATGTAACATTTTAGAAACTGAAGCTCTCAGCAACTTTTTTTGAAATGTATGGGGTGTTTCTTCAATCCTCGTGTTTTTGAAAAAAAAATCAAATTATAGAACTCATTTGTGACTTATACATAACTTTAAGAAACTATTACTATATGATTTACAAATGAGTTAATATTGTAATAGTGTTTAAAAAATGAGGATTCAGTGCTACATATGTGTACACGTGTATTGGTGTATATGTGTACATCATACGTAATTGCATGTACATAATAATATAAACGTGTGTAACTGTGTACTTGCACATATTATTTGCATGCATACCCATATGCTCTTTATAATTTCAAGTTTCTCCCATTCCATTTAGAGTTTCTTGGATATCTGAAAACAGTTTCGGCTCGTCCTATTGTATTTTTTTTATAGTTGTCTATCTGGTTCCAGGAGCCTTAGGGAGTGTCCTTTGTTTCATTCTTCTTAAAGCGCTTTTTTTTGTAATATCACTGAATACGGGTCAACCATGGTATTGTGTGCACATTCAGGTGAGAACTTTTGAGCAGCACTGCGGGTCGTTGTCACAATACGGGATGAAACACATGCGTTCAGTTGCTAACATATGTAATGCGGGGGTCAGGAGGGAGGAGATGGCGGAGGCATCAGCACAAGCTTGCCCCATCTTTCCTTCCAACACTTGGAGCTCTCTCCACAGAGGGTTCAGTGCATAAGTTCCAGTGTAATGTTTGGGGTTATACACATCACTTATAATTTTATATGATGGCAGCTTTACTTCTTTCATGTGTATACCAGTAAAAGGTCTATCCTCTAATCCTCTATGTAAAATCTATATCAATACCTCTTCATCACAATGCATCTAATAGCCACTCTCTTATGTAAATAGTCGCTACTGAACCTATAGTAAAACCTTTTGTAAAATTCTTCCTAATGGTTTTAATGTTACTTTTTGTGTATATTTTGTGATTTTTAGTTTGTATGAGAAATCTCGATTTCGGTTGTGGAAAGTAGCTTGAGATTATACAGTAGCTTATCAGTTTGTTTCGCGATTACAAGTGTCATTATTCATTTATTTCTTTCACAATTGTGGTCCATCCTTTTTTATAGCGACCAACACCATGGGTAGGGTGATCAGGGTCCCGATTTTTGAACCAGGATTGGACTTGTTGAGAAACATTTAGAAACCCAAGCTCCCACCTATGCCTGGACTCGGGCCGGTTCGGGCCCGGCCGGGCCTCGGGCCAGGAAAGGGAGGCCCGAGCCCGAACCGCCGGTGGCCGGTTCCGGTCCCGGTTCCGGGCCAAACCGGGCCGGGCCGAACCGGCCCAATATTTTTTTTTTTTTTGTTCTCTTATTTAATCCCCTACCCCTCCCCCTTAACCCCAAACCATCCCAAACCACCTCAAATGGCCCAAAATACCTAATCCAACCTAAAACTTAAAAAATTTCAAAAAAAAAAAAAAAAAATTAAAATCCGGCCCGGACCGGGCCCGAACCGGCCGGGCCGGTTCACCAAAACCTGGGCCCGGGCCCGAACCGCCCAGCAGCCGGGCCGGGCCGAACCGAACCGAGGGACCCACCGGGCCCCGGGCCGGGCCGGGCCAAACAGTAACCGGGCCGGTTCCGGGCCGGGCCGCCCGGCCCGAGTCCACCACTACTCCCACCCATCCCTTGACACATCCCTCAAAGTCAGCACCGCCCGATCTTTTTGCAACCCTTGTCGTAAGATCTATTGCAACCATCGTTGTTGGCTACCAACCATTGTGGATGGATTTGCACGACCACTGATTTACAAGCTCGTCAGTCGTCAGTGATGGAGAAGCTCATTGTTGTCGTCCATGCACAAATTGAAGAAAAGGAGAAGAATTTCTAATGGTGGTTTCGGCAATCAAAACAGTTGTTGCCATAGAGGTGTACTTGTGTTCGTTGATATAAAGGCTTGTGTTCGTTGTGCCTATAGTACTAGATGTAGCAGAGTATCTAGGATAATTACCTCGAGCCTGCACTCCTGCAGGATAGGGGTCTTACATGTGTATTACAAATGACCAATCATTCAGGATTTCACCCTAACATTACTAAAAGTTAATACCAACTTTTGCAATTATTGTGAGTGCGGTGTCACTATTATTATTACACTCTCAATTTATGTTCAAGCAATGAGCACGTGGTTGTCAATACACATGAGGCTCATTACGACTCTCTTTAAAATAGAGAAAATCTCGTTGAATATTAATACCTCACATACACACCATACAAGATTGAATATATTCTTATTCTCGATACTTTATGTTTATCAAATACCTGACGGGCGTAGAGGGTCATCTTAGGCCCTAATTGAAAATTTAATTAGGCTCTAAAGCTCATACTAATCATAATACAATATTTAATGTAAAGGAATACAAAATTATAGAGGAAATAATACATAATACTAATGATTAAGAGACCTGTTTTTTCCTCCACAAAACTTCAAAGAATATTTATGTGCCATATTTTTTTTCAAGAATATCATGCACACCATTGTGTTTTTCTAAGATTAGGTGGGTCTAGTGCCAGAGTGGGGTAGTACATCCTGGAATGTTTGACATCAAAACGTCCAACATCTTTTCGATCGCTAAAAAAGATTCTTCCTGACAAAAAATAAATTTATAGTTGATCGGTATTTATAATATCACATAAAATATTCAAAGAAAACTAAACGAGTCGGTGAAAAGGTGTTGTAAAATTCACAATTTTATTCAACTGAATCATGTAAAAAATATAAATGCAATTTGCTATTGTTATCGCCAAACATCTTTTCATACAAGTAGAGTATAAAATACTACGTATAACAAATACAAGTACGACATATCACTTAACTTTGCCATAATGAATGTATGAATGTGGAAAAGTTAAAATGATATATGCTGAACATGTATTTTTCATATCTAAATTATCTATTTGTATCCTAAAGATGAATAGTGAAGACAAACACAAAATATTTTTATATATATTAGAAGTTGTTCGGTGTTTGGTTTACAATTTTTCGGTTTAAAACAAACCAAATCAAACCATTCGGTTTGAGCAAATTGTTACCAAACAGTTCACTTAACTAATAAATCCAAACCGAACCAAAGAACCGATTTTCAGTTTGATTCGGTCCGGTTAACCATTTTCCACAGTCCTACTTTGCAGTCAATAACACAAAGTGTGCATGTAATAATAATCTAATCTAATTGCATAAGTGTAATATGAAATCTATTTCTTTTTCTTTCGATTGAGATTGTTATTAATTTAGGATGTGAAATCCCTTCCGATCTAGCCTCACCTTTTCGGAAATACTCCCTTCGATCGTAAATAAGCTTCATAGTTTGACTTTACGGTTTTTAAGAAAGTGGAATTTATATTAAAAATAAAGGTATACTCAAAAAGAGGACAGTCGCCTAGGGTTAGGAGTAGCTTGAACAATTTTTATAGGGGCGAACATTTGAAGATGATCTTCCTAAGTCGGCGAGGGGAGTTAGACGGGGCCATCAATTAGCACTGGAGTTAGTCTCGTTTTTGACCGATAGGTTTGTGGCTGACGTTTGCGTGAAGGAGGGTTGTTTTGCGTGCAGGCTTTGATGAGACAAATGCAAATTTGATTTGGAGATGGAAATAATTAACGCACAATAGGAGGTAGAGAGGTTGACATACTCATATGACGACATGGAGATGGATGATGACGATAAGGCAATATTTGTGGAAGCCCCGGCTCGTGGAACAACAGATGGGAGTTCAGCGATAGTAAGGACTATCACGTCGGAAAAGTTGATACATTTCTCTTCTTTTCGTGATATTATGGCATCCGTGCGGAGATCGGTTAAAGGTGTTACTATCATTGAATTGGGGAACATACGTTACATGTTTCAATTCTATAATGAGAAAAATGATACGATGGATGTTTTAGAGGAAGGTCCCTAGATTTATGATAAAACTCTACCTATGGTTGTGTCTCTGAATAGAGCTGAGTTTTGGGTACAAGTTAATGACATTTTGGTGGGCTACTTTAATATGGACGATGATGTGAAATTGAGATTTTTTTGGGAAGATGTATTAGGCTTATGCTTCTTGTGTGGGCATGCAGAGAAGTATTGTCTGCGAAACCCTGGGGGTTGTACGAGAGGGGGAGAAAAACCGTTTGGCCCTTGATTGAGGGCCAAAAAAGGGAGGGTTCATGCATGTGACAACAAAGTGGCTGGTACCAGTGGGAAAGGGGCAGCACCAAAGCAAAGAGGGAGTAGAGGTCGGTTCTAGTGCGGGAGACAGTGTTTTGGCCACTAGAATATCACATATGCAAACATACCAAAGGTGAGTAGAAGCGTAGAAGAATTAATCAAGAGGAAGAGGAGCCAATCAATAACAATATGTAAGTGGAGCTGAATGGGACAAAAAAAGAAAAGATGCAAGTTGCAACTCTGCAACTCGCTGGACACACTAATGACAAGCTTGCAAGAATATCCAAATAAAGACGACGCATAGAGGATTCATCAGATCTTTGCTAGTTATTTCCTTTCTTTTTTTTTTTGTTTAAGTACTTTAAGTCTATTGTTTCTTTGAACTCTGGGGATGATAGAGTGGTTTTGGTTTTTTACTTTGGTTGATAGAAGTTTTTGCAGAAGCAATCATGCTTTATTAGTCGATAGCATCTTCGAATCTCTCTCATTTTCAGCGATTAGTTTCGTTCATTTTTGGATGATTTACTCTATCTCTGATCAGGGGGCCTATTGACTTAAGGTTGGGTAGAAGGTGGGAAAGCTATGTTAATGTTGGTTGGATGATGTTTTATTCTATCTAATATATTCTCCCTAAAAAAGTCGAATTTTTGTTTTTGATTTTGTCATCATATCCCTATAAAAAGTAGAGAAAGTGTGGTAGAAGAGAGAAAAATGAGTATAAAGTAAGTAATAAAGTAAAAGTATATAGGTAACTATATATTAAAAATTTGCCAAATATAAAAGTATGAAGTTTATTATGAACCTATCAAAAAGGGAAGTGTAAAGTTTATTTAGAACTAGAGAGAGTACTTTCGGGTGAAACTCTCGAATTTTCTAAAATACTTTTATTTATTACTACCTCCGTCCCTTAAAAGTTTACCACGTTTGACCGACACGGAGAATAATAAAGCAAAAACTGTATGATTGAAATTTGTGCAGAGGAAAGAGAAATAACAGGAACCACAAAATAATGAATTAAAGGAAAAAGTGACAAAGTTTTTTTAGAATGTCCTAAAAAAAAATTGTGATTGTACTTACTAATATGATGACCCCTAATAAAATTGGCCTAAGCAAAGTTACAAAGATGAGAGGAGAGCATCAGCCCAAATTACAGTTGAAATAGCCCACTGTTTTTCTAACCCAAAAAATATGAAAAAATATCAGTGCTCTGGCATTCAAGGAGAAAACCCGAAGTACTCTGTAAATTATTTTCTATTTTTGTGAGAAAAGCCCGTCTACGGAATCTGCCATCACTGACCACTTGCCGGCGTCTGCCGGGAGACATTGCGGCGTCTCTACTCTCACCTCCCAATACCATTTATCACCCTAGATATGGCGACGAAAACAGGTATGGTGTGTGTATAGATATACATATATATTGTGCGAATTCATCTTTGACTGTTTTTCGTAACCAAATGCTATTACCTCTCTTAGATTAATTTTCAAAAATTAACTTTCGGCTATTAATTTTTTTAACCAAAAACTTCTTTGACTGTTTATGCTCTTAGTTAGAAGTTCGATGAGTTAACTTTGCAGTGAAGTTGAGGTGGTTCTTGACGGATTAGGTCCCGTCTGGTTTCACTTGGATCCCTTTTTTCTGTTTTCCTTCTCATAGTCTATTTAGTGAATTTTCGTCGTTTAGTTAAAATGAAAATAAAACTATTTAAGTGAAATGTGAATTTCAAATGAGTTGATTCTAATTTGCTCCTAGGTGATGGAGTCGAGGAGGATGAAAATGTATTTCCTTCAATTCCTGTACATATTGTGACTCAACCAGGGCAACTGCCTGTTGAATTTTTGGAGCCTTCTCCTGAGAACCAGTTTGCTGTTGGTTTTGATTGTGAGGGTGTTGACCTTTGCCGCAATGGGACTCTTTGTATTATGCAGGCAGGTGACCTCAATTTGTCATTATGATTCGGAGTTGTGAATATATTCTACTACATAAACAAGTACTAGCTTTTGGTTTCGTTGGATGTAATTAACATTACAAAACACTTTTTCTTCCAGAAAATTCTGTCAAATGACTCTTATAGAACATGCACTTAACATTCCAATTAATGTGCATGTTTGGTAGACATAGTCCCTATCTTCTAGCTTTTATACTATTCGAAGAGTCGTTCAAAGCTTGTAGTTGTATGTTTGGCCTAACCGTTATTAATATTTTTTTTAAAAATAAATGTTCTTTTATGGGAAGCTACACTGAATAGCCTATGAGAGAAAGTTTGTAGCTCATATTAGGCATACTTTATATAAATGGTTAACATAGTGCCTAAAACAAAAAATGTCCGAAGTGAGTGTGCTACAGAGTATATCTTAAAAAATAAAAAGAAATAACTATATTTCTTAGACACCTTTGCCCCTGGAAACTCTGAACAATTATACCAAACAGAACTAAATCAAACGGTCAACTTTTTATGAAACAACCACACTCTTTTCTTTTAAGACCTTTCCAGTCACTATAAACTAATACTACCTCCTTCCCGACTCCCCCTAACATTGGTGTTAGAGGAGGTAGTGTGGTTACCAAGAAAAGTAAGTACTTGGGGTTGACATTGAATTGATTAAGTGAGAATAGAGTAGGAATTATTTAGAACCACACAAACATTACTAAATTTAGTATGGGAGAATCTTAGTATGATGGATCAAAAAGGAAAGTTGGGAAAATCATACCGGGATGGGGAGATTAGTTACTAAAAAGCTCACAAAAAGTTTTTTTCTAACTAGTTGTGCCAAACATACCCTATACATTTGATATGGTTCTTATGCATGAAAATTGAAATTTCTAGTGACATTGTACAAATTCGAAGCTAATTATGTGTGAGATGAATAGTATGGCAAGTTATTATGTGATTTTAAAATTAAATCCTTTATGCAACTAGAGAAAAAAAATATGTACCCAAAATTATATTGCTGAGTATTATTTTTACGGTTGTAGGTTTTTGTTTCTTTAATCTTTTAACTTCTTGTTTTACTTCCATTCTTTTATCCTCGTTATGAGATGTTAAGGGCCTGTTTACTAACAGAGATATTTTCCTGTTTTCTACTTCTGTTTTTCGTTCTCCAATTTTCTGTTTTTATTTTTCAGTTTTTCTATCTCCAATTTTCTGTTTCTATTTATTAGTTTTCCATTTTCAAATATGAAAACATGTTTTCCATTTAGGGTAGGGTTGGGGTACTGGGTAGGGTTGGGGTAAGGTAGGGGTAGGGTAGGGAGTTGGGATAGGATGGCAGTAGGGTGGGGCTGGGACCAGGGTGGGCCAAGGTAGGGAAGGGGTAGGGTGGGGGGTAGGATGGCGGTAAGGGTGGGGGTAGGGAGTTGGGATAGGATGGCGGTAGGATGGGCCCGGGATCCGGGTGGGGCCGAGGCAAGGGAAAGGTAGGGTGGGGGGTAGGATGGCGGAAGGGTGAAGGTAGGATGGCGGTACGAGGGTGGGGGTAGGATGGCGGTGGGGTGGGGCCGAGGTCGGGGGCATGTGGTAAGGAGTAAGGTAGGGGTAAGAGGTAATATACGAGGGGTGGGGGTAGGGTAGGGTGGGTCGGGGTGGGGTCGAGGTGGTAGGGTAGGATGGATCGGGGTGGGGCCGAGGTAGGGGCATGTGGTAGGGGGTGGGGTAGGGTCATTATAGGTAAAAATGGGTACGAAGGGTGGGGGTTGGGTGAGTAGGGTAGGGTAAGGGTAAGGAGTAAGGTACGAGGATGGAGGTACCGGAATGGAATCGACATCGGAGCGGGACCGGACCCACCACTAGGTGTAAGTATGCAAATTCATTGCAGCGGCACTATAGCATCTGCGTTTTCCAAATTTGGAAAACTAGTAAAATTCACTTCTTCAAATCATTAAGGAAAAGAGAGACATGTCTCATTTTTTTCGTTTTGGAAAATGATTTGGTAAACGCGTTTTTCTTTTTTCCTTTCTCCAGTTTTCCAGCAATTTCTTTGGTAAACACGTTTCCTGTTTCCAGTTTTCCAGTTTTTCAGTTTTCTGAAAAACTGGAAAATATCTCTGTTAGTAAACAAGCCCTAAAGTTCTTAAAAATTTTGTAGCCCAGACCTCACCTTAGTCCTAAATGTTGAGGTCGGTGACATGAAACTTGTAGTGTCAATTAAGTGTCTTAAATTGGTCAACACTCAACACTATAAACTTATGCAAAAGAACGTTGTGATAGATCCTTACGGCAGATGCCTTTTATGTGTGCTCTACATTGCTTGAAAGGTTTTAACTTTTTTTTTCACAGATTGCCTTTCCAGATGCAATATACTTGGTTGATGCCATTGAAGGCGGAGAGTCTCTGATCTTAGCTTGTAAGCCTGCACTTGAATCTAATTACATCATCAAAGTCATTCATGACTGTAAACGAGATAGTGAGGTCTCTTTATCGTTCTCTTCCTACATTTATATCTATAAATGAATGATGAATATACCACACTCGAATTCATATATGTTTGTGCTTTGCAGGCATTGTATTTTCAATTTGGTATAAAGCTGCAAAATGTCATAGATACACAGGCAAGTATTTACTTCCCAAATGCTTGAGTGCATATACTTTGGGAATTTAGAGCCCTATTGGTGAACCTTTTCTTGGCTTATGAGTAAGACTTTCCCCCCAGCACTAATATATTTCACTGTGCCGGTTGAATCATATAATAATGAAAACTAGTACATAGTACTAGTAGTATATACTAGACTACCAGTTTCTTTTTTGGCTGGAAGTAAATAATTTGACATTGCAATATTCTTTTTAGATATTATTTTCTTTAACTTATTTGGGACATGTATTTTCTATAACTTATTTAATGATGAATCAATATATTCAGATTCAGCCATTTCAGCCCCGAGCTCAGCAATTTCAGCCTATTGAGTCACTTTGGACATTTTAGGCCTCACCAATGCGCTCTTAATGTTTTAGGACTTATTGTTTGGTCATATTGGTCTATTATGAATATTTCTGACAATGTTTTAACAGATTGCATATGCTTTGATCAAGGAGCAAGAAGGACAAGCAAGGATTCCAGATGACTACATATCATTTGTTAGTCTCCTTGCTGACCCATGTTATTGTGGTAAAATAGTTTATTGCCAATTCATCTCTTTTATTTATAAAATTGCCAATATCTCCTGTCTATTTCTATTATTGGAAGACAGTTTATTCATACTATTTATGTTTTCTTTTGTTCAAGTCTATAAATTCTCTGTTCTTTTAGTTTTAGCAATGTGGCGTTATTTTTTACTTTTAAGAACTATGACAAGATCTTATACATACACACCAAAGAATATCATCATCATCATTACCCCAGTGCTGCTAAGGCTCCCACCTACTGTGGGGTAAGGGGGGTCGGACGTACGCAATCTTACCCCTACACTAAAGCACAGAGAGACTGTTTCCGGATGACCCATAGTGAGAATCGCATCGAAAATTGCATGGACTGACTATTGCATCATAACAAAGAAGCGCAGACACTTTAGTGAACCATTTTGCTTTATTCCATCATATTCCCAAGCCAAAAAATAGTGAGTCTTTGGCTCCATTGTAGATGATGGAAAGATAGACACCAAAGAATATAAGATAAAAATTTATTTTGGTTCTAAAAATTGTTGTTGTGACTTGTGAGTGAGCATTTGATGTAATGAACTTGGATTTCTTGTATTGTTTCCCCTAATTATTTGGATTTTCACTCCTAACAGGAATCTCTTACGATGAGAAAGAAGAAGTGCGAGTTCTTCTAAGGCAGGTTGGTGTAAATTATTTGTTCCTTGGCTTTCTACATCTAAACCATACAATGCTCAATTAATAAGTTGTCCAACAATCCCGACCTCAGATGCAACATATTTTTAATATATTTTGTATTTATGTTGGATGTAACACACCCTTCTTACTGCAAGACAAAGAAATCCCTTCTAAATATTTTGTTGTTCATTTGTGAACTAATCCTTCTCGATACTAAACATGAAAACAAAACAAAATTAGTCTTGCAAATTTGAGTGGATAGAATGTCACAGTATAACATCACTAGGGCTATGGAGAGTTTGATAGAACCTTGGTATAATTCAACTAAGAACAGTAGGAAATCAAGAAGAGTTGATCAAGAAACTGATCAAGAAATGTTTATTGATGAAAGGGAATGTTTACGGTAGCCTTGGACGATTCGAGATGCCCGGTCTCCAAGCCTATTCTGAACAGAATACTTGCCTACCTCATTTGCATCCCCTCCCTTTCTATTTATAGTACAAGCCCACTTATTCTTATCTACAATAATAGGCCCATTATTCCTGATTTGCTAAATGGCCCAGAACTTCACTTATACACTATTACACTCTTATACTATTCTTATTAGTATTATTGTCCGCATTCCTATCAATACTCCCCCCTGAAAATTCACCTTGTCCTCAAGGTGGATGATGGGAAAGAGCCTTGATCTTCGACTTCATTTTCATCCTCGCGCCTCTCCCTTCCCAGTACCTCCCAAATTGTGGGGCCATGAGCTTCATTGCCTGGAGAGCACACTGATTGTTGTGATTTTTATAATTGTTTTGTTCCTCATGACCAGATTGTGTTGTTTGATCTTTCCTTTCAATATCCTTTTCTGGATGCGCTAGCTGCGAATTGATCAAACTGCCAGTGCTAATATTCTTTAAAATCATGTGTCCATCTCTGGTTAAGCACAAAGCAAGTTCTTCCCTACTTACATATGAAGTTCCTCCTTCCGGTTTCACAGTGCTTTAATGAACACCCAAAGATGCCTGGTGGCTTTCAAACCCCACAACCAGTTTGGATCCTGATGCCATGTACTGCTGGATGCATACTGTGGAATTGGCAAACGAAGAGAGTTGTGCATTGATACCCAGCACTGCTTGGGAAAAGGGAATCTTCAGTGTTGGGTTCAGTGATGAAGTACAATCTTGTTTTCTCAGAACCAGAGCTGCTGCCAATCATGTAATAGTGAACTTGACCAGTTTCGTTTCCCATAGCAACACCCTCCTCCTGACTATGCATCATTACCTTTACACACTTCTTGCTATCCAAAATTGTCAACAAGAACTTATATAGGTTGCCTGAAGGTATTTTCTGTTTCCAGCTACGAAAGGGAGTACCAGAGTGCAAGGAATTCCTAGATGCATAATCAGCTAGAGCCCAAAGAGACACATGATACTCTCTTAAATCATTATAAGATCTTCCAGAAAATGTGTTGATAATCACCAAGTACTCAAAGTTTGTACCTCTTTTCTCTTCCAACTTTCCTTAGAGATTTCAGTCCGTATTTTGTGTATTCCGAAGAGCTCAGGGCTATCAGAATCTGAAACCATAACATTTTCCTTATACTTTCTGGTAATTCCTACTCCTATTTCATTTTGAATATTCTTCATAGAAGGAACATCATCAATCTTATTCAGCTCTTCCAAACTATTGTTTAGTAAACAAGGTTGCATAATTTCCTGTAGAACACCCAATCCAAGTTCCGGAACTCTACCAATCCAAGATTTAAAATCTTCTAGGTTTCTGTCTAAGGCACTAGTATACCTTCGAACTTCATGGGGTAAGATTATCTGATTTATGCTTTTCGGACTCTTCCAGATTATCTGGTGGGTCAACGCTTTCTGCCCCTTCCTGAATATCATCCTTTGTCTCCAATTCTTGAACTGAAGATTTAGATAACGTCTGCTTCAACTCAGTGTTCCATGTAGGTGGTGGAGTTCCAAGCAATGAAAATTGCATCTGGTGAGTGATGTCTAGAGAAGACAAGTTGTGCGAGTCCGCGAGTGAGGAAGTCTGCGATCTTGGAGAAACGAGAGATTGAGTCCGCGATTGCAAACTGGAAGATGGGGTTCGCGATTGCGAACTGTGATATGAACTTGTAGTCACTGTACGCGACTGCGACTGCGAAGCTTCTCCTCTCGGTTGCGTCACACTTAGCAATGAACGATGGAGATGATTGAGGATAAACAGTTCGCGACAAAGACTTAGAACGGGAAAGAGTTTCCCGCGATTGAGAATAAACCTGCGCAGTTGGCAACGACAATCTGGTAGAATTAGTGCGCATCTGCAAACTGAAGGACGTTGTTGACGACCGCGATCGCCTTCTCGCCTGAAATTGTTTGTTCATCGCATCTAGCTGTCTGTCCATGTTTTCCAGCATCGTTTGTCTGCTAAAGTCTGCTAAAGTCTTCTTCATGGATGTCTGCTTCTTCTCCAGCGAATCCATCCTATTCTCCAGCGAGTCCATCTTCTTCTCCATGCTTGGTGTATAGACTTCTTCCATCGATACAGGTAGTTGATGTTCTCGATCGATTCAAATCCTCTGCCACCAGGAAGTTAGTGCTCTGATACCATTGATAGAACCTTGGTATAATTCAACTAAGAACAGTAGAAAATCAAGAAGAATTGATCAAGAAACGTTTATTGATGAAAGGGAATGTTTACAGTAGCCTTGGACGATTCAAGATGCCCAGTCTCCCAGCCCTATTCTGAACAGAATACTTGCCTACCTCATTTGCATCCCCTCCCTTTCTATTTATAGTACAAGCCCACTTATTCTTATCTACAATAATAGGCCCATTATTCCTGATTTGCTAAATGGCCCAGAACTTCACTTATACACTATTACACTCTTATACTCTTCTTATTAGTATTATTGTCCGCATTCCTATCAGAGTTTGAACTTTATTTTGATTGACTCGTGACAATGAAAATAGAAGAGGATATTATAGTGCTAAGAATTGCTGCTGGGCAAGAACAATGATATTTAAAAAAACTCAAATATCAAGGAATTTGTGAAAATACAAAATGTTATAATATCAAGAAGGGTCCAGTAAAATAACGTAAACGTAATCTTCTTTAACTGATTATTCAAATGTCAACAGCTTATTTTCTTTTTTCAATCTCCCATTCGATTGATCTTAACAATTTTTCTTTCACATAATCTTAATCCTCCAGTCTTCCGTACATGTATATGCATTTAAAACGTGTCCTTTAGTTTTCATGATATATCCTACACACATTTCCAGGATCCTAAGTTTTGGGAATACAGACCACTCTCTGAATTGATGGTCCGTGCTGCTGCAGATGATGTTCGCTATCTTCTTAGCATACATGATAAGATGATCAAAAAGTTGAAGGAAAGGTCTTTATGGCTCCTTTCCCTGCGTGGTGCACTTTATTGCCGTTGTTTCTGCATAACTGATAATGACTATGCAGATTGGCCTCCTCTTCCATTGCCCCCAGGTATCCTTCCAATCACATGATAAAAGAAGTAAAAAAAGAGATAAAAAGTTGTTTTGTTGTGTGATAGAAGTTCTTCCCTAATACCATGGTCCACCGAGTATTTTTTTAAATGAAAGAACAGAAAGTGATGTGAAGAATGGGTGAAAGTCATATCTATTTGCAGAAAATCTTATTGCTGATGGGTCGGAAGAATGCTTGTCTGTTCTTGATGTCCCTCCGGGTCAAATGGGACGTATCATTGGACGAAAAGGAGCTTCTATTCTCGCTATAAAGGAATCATGCAAGTATGTAATAATGAGTTCACATTACATAATAATAGTAATAATGATTAATTGTTTTTCATTAAGATATATCTTTTGCATATTATAGAGTAGATTTTCGAAGGTCTCACTTTTATCCCATCTTATACGACACATTTTATTGTTCATTGGTCATACCAACTCTTATTATGTTCATGTTTTATTTTAGCAAACAACAACAACATCCAAACCTTAATCCCAAAAGAATTTGGGGTCAGTTACCATGAATCGATCCATGATATCACTGTAAAAAAGAAAAGAAAGATAAAGAAAAAAAAGATAAGATACAATGGGTAAGATAATTTTATTTTAGCAAACACTTGATGTAATTTCCAAATATATGAATTTCATTGATTGATACCAGTCTAAAAATGACAAAGAATATACGTTATCAAAAATTCAGTTACAGTGGTTACTGGTTATTGATTAAGGTTATCTAAATTGAGATAGAGAGTGGGTGTGTGTAATCTTGTTGCGCACACAATCAATCCCACTCATAGACTAATGAGAGTGTGTAATCTTGTTGCCTTGACTACTGTTGTGCATTCACGTGCAGTGCCGAAATACACATGGGAGGTGATAGGGGTCCTCCTGACAAGGTTAGTGATGTTTGTGCCATTTTATTAACTTTGTAATAATTCAGGATGAGAAGATTTGCAACTCCACAATGCGATGATACCTTCCCTCTTGCAACAAATTGGGTAAGGGAGAAAAATTATGTGTTCAGTTGGTGTTGCAGGTTTTCATCATTGGACCAGTGAGACAAGTGAAGAAAGCAGAAGCCATTCTTAGGGGAAGGCTATTAGGTCCCAACTGAACTTTTCATGTTCTAGATAGACAGCGCCCCTCCCTCGCTCCCTCACTCCCTACATACAACAACATCCAAGCCTTAACCCAAAAGCGTTTGGGGTCGGCTCCTCCCCTACATAAATAATATTAGTATACTAATAATCATAATAACAATTATTTAGAGAGCACTCTTTGGCCATCTCACAATTTCCAACCCCTAGATGTTGGCAAATTATTACCCGCACAAGTCACATCTAAATTGCACGGACACATGGGAAGCATTGGGAAACGGGAAATGTGAAACCCAATCTTTTAATAGAAAAACAAGTATCTCAGGAGTTTACTAAACAAAATGTATTCTTTCCCAAGATTTTTTGTGCTTATAGGAGTTGCTAGGGGGTAGGGTTTCTTTAATAGGGTAGGCTAGAGTGCCGACGTCTTTTTGAAATTATGTACTTCGTTGTTTTTTTTGGTGAATGTTTGGCACAAAAATAAAGCAGATTAAATTGGGTTCTCAGATGCCTAAAATTTCTCTGATTAATGAATGTTGTCTGACACAAAAGACCTTAATACCCCCCCCCCCCTCAAGTAGTCTAACCTCTTCTCTTAAACAATGGGATTTGTTCTCAAAACCCTACATCAATCTCCAGCCTCAATTTCATATTTTTTTTATCTTGTCATTTTGAAATTGTAAAGATGTAAATTTAGCTTCATTTGTGACACCTCCACAAACATGCTTGTACAAACTACAAAGCATTGTTTTTTGTTTCTCATCCCATGAGATTTTGTCATGTCAAACAGAGTAACAGATTACTTCAATCCTGTCAATTCTCACATATTAGTTCAATTGAAATAATCAATAGCTAATACTAAACAATCTATGACATTTCTTGAAAGACCGTAGACCGTAGTTAGAGTTGCCCTGTCGGTGCTTTTCAAATTTTCATTTTCAAATCTTAGAGTGAAAATACTAGGCCATTCAGCCGTTGCTAATATGCCCCCCACCGACGAAATCCAAATGATGCCATTTTGTATTGAATGTGCTACTTTCAGAATGCTAATTCAAATTTAATAAGATTGCTAAAATCTATTTGCAAAACAAATAAAGTTTGCTGAAATTTCTTGTCATCATGCCATTTTCTAAACCATCCCAAGCTATCACCTCTAGTGCTAATGTTATTTGTCTTTTTAATTCTACTCGAACAAGACCCAGTTTCTCTCCAAAACATAGAACAAGGCAAATTTCATGAATTAAAGTTTTATTGACGTGGGTGTGAATTGTGATTGCTTTGGAGAGGTGCTATTGTGCTAACTTGACACTCTTGACTTGCTCTTGAATTAATGGATTACTCAAAAAGTTGGATCTGTTTTTGGAGAAATATGAGAAGTAATAAAGAGAAAATTAGTGTATTAGGTTAATGAATGATCCCCAATTACGCGAGTCCCATAAAAATTGGCTAAGCTAATAGAGATGTATTAGGCCCACTAATGGTTCGTGAATGTATATTGGATGCAGTCCTAGTCCAATAATCATATACTGAGGAAGTGAGGCTCCAAAGATATCCATCAATTATATATTTGTAATTGTATAATTATAATTATGAATTACTGTATATTACTCCCTCTGTCGTGCTAATATTGTCTCATTTCACCTTTGTTAAAATAGGACAATATTGTTTCATACCAAATTTGGTAAAATTTGTGACTCGTAATCATTCTTATTTTATTCTTACCTTATCAATTAATATCAATCACATAAACTCACTTTTCTTATAATTGTGTCACACTGTCACCTCCTCATGTCCCAATATTAGGACAAAGGTATTAAAATATACGGAGTAATACATTAAATACTACCTCCGTCCCACTAAGATTGAGACAAGAGAAGGTGGCACAATTATTAAGAAAAGTGGGTTTCTGTGCTTGATATTAAATTGATAAAGTAAGAATACAGTAAGAATAGTATGAGACAATCTTAGTGGGACTTCCCGAAAAGGTAAAATGGGATAATCTTAGCGGAACGAAGGGAGTAGTAATGTTATGCATTATTAGTAACAACGTTGTACTATATGAGTAACTTTTTTTTGTCTATAAAATGATAATAGTTCAAATTTGTTAGACGACTTCCGTTGAAACTTATGTTACAGTTAGACATGGATTCGGGCCGGGTGGCCCGACCCGGAACCGGATTGGCCCGACATTGTTTGGGCCCAGCCTGAACCGGTGGCCCGGCCAGAGACCGACCTGGTGGCCCGGTTCGGGCTCGCTGCAATTTGAGGTCAGAATTTACCGCGCTCAAATGTCTCCCTCCACTGCATTCTACTGCCGTTGTTCCTCCCTTCACTCTACTTAACCAGTGCCTTCACTTCACTCGAAGAATCCGGTGAACTCTCCAGCAAAGGCGGCCGCAGTCCACAGAGATGGCCGTCGCAGATCCCGACGGTGGCCAATGCAGTCCACGGCTACCCGGACCAGTCTCTGGCCGGGCCGGTTCCCAACAGTGCCGGGCCGGACCACGGGCCGGTTGGCCCGGAACCGGTCCACCACTAATTCCATATGCTTTGACTTCGTAGTAAATTTTGCATATCTTGGAAGGGAAGAAATTTTGCATAGCGGATCATCTCAACCTATTTTGAATGGATACGGGTACATGGGTATATAAACTATTGACTGGGTACCAAAAAGTTGTAGACCTTTTAAATAAGTTTTATATCTTGTGCACAAAAATGTATGTTGGAAAAAATGCAATTTTAGAGATGATAAAAGTATAGCACAGAAAAAAGTGTACAATTTGACTATTTGAGGCATTTATTTTCTATCACGGATAACTATTTCTGTGTACAAAGTGCAAACAATATGTCAGTGTACAAATATTGTTTTTCATGCAGCTAGAGTTCTAGACATTGACATTTCCGTAAAAAGCAAATCTGAGTGTGCAACTGTGCAAGTAATGGAATTAGCAAAATTTAATAACAATAATCATTCAGTCACATGGAATTCTCTTATCATTGCGGACAATTCAGCCCCCAAGTCCCCAACATAGGTTGCGATACAATATTTAATAAACTGAAGAATTGTGACCTTATTGATTCGAGTCTGCATTTATCAAGCAAAATCGCAATATAATCATTTTTCTATATTTTTTATCTTTTAAAATCAAAATTTCAAATTGATCTCAGAGACTCAGACTCTCAGAGGAAGCTTAGGGCTCATTTGACAAGGCTGAAAAGTAATGAAATTATACAATAGTCCAGTAGTGAGTGACTGAGTGGGGGAGAAGAGATGATAAAGTACAGCTCATCCTGTTTCTGAAAACTTAAGTACGAAGGACCAAGAGTTTTGGAAACTTTTAAATGAAATGGCTGGCAATGGGAAAACAGCCAAGACTAGATTTCCCAATCCCACACAATACACACTTTGCATCTCAAAGATTACACAAAACAAATAAACATTTGATCTCTGAGAACTTCACAAAAGAATATATCTGACGAAATAGGTATTTAACTCATTTTTGGAAGCTACCGAATTGGGCTGAGAAGAAATTGTCTCCTGAAGAAAACCCAGATTTGCCAATGCCGGTTCCTTGACCCATGTAAAATGTAGGCAGAGCAAGTTCCTTTTCTTTCTCAGATCCACCGGTCAATCCTCCAACACAGCCAGAATCTGCTAGATTGCCCTTTTTGGCTGCAAATATGAAAATTTTTTGGGTATGAAATAATTATTTTTTCTTTTAAATATGAAAGCTTAAATGGGGGTTTCTTAGTATTTAAATAATAGATATAAAGAATAGAGTAAAATAAATAAACAGAGTTTGAATGAATATGTAAAATAGATGTATTGAGTACGAGTATATCCTTATTTTCCCTCAAATTTCTTTCCTTTTCATTCTCCATATTTTCCCCTAGTAATTTCTGGGTCTCATACAGACCATAAAGTCAGCAAAGGAAATACATTTTCTACTACTCACAATCAAACATAAAAACAAATTCCAGTTACAATGAAATATGCATCTGCATCCAGTAGCTAAACTTACGTGCACTTATGTTAAGATCAATCAGTCCACGGCTAAGGGAATCCGCCCATATTCCAGACTTGACCTGAAAAGCATCCTTCTTGCTTGGGCACTTAGAATCTACCAAAGATGCGCTCAAATTTCCAGAACTTTCACCAGACGTTGCAGAGGCAGGATCTGTCTGGGAAACAAATGAATCAAAAGGGTTGGAACTACTGAAAGCATTTACTGGAACATTGGCGAATGGATCAAGTATACTACTATTAGTATTAATGGGCTCCTGTTTAGAAGATGTATCTGACTGCACAGCTGGATCAGCCAAGCCGAAAAAATCAAATGTTGAGGGAGGAGTGGGCGTTGCTGAAGTAAAAGGCGTGGTTTGCCAGAACAGATCAATACCCCCCTGAAAATGGTACATGTTAAACATCCACATAATAATTATAATTAGACAGAGGAGATTGATCGGGTATAGGATTATTGTGGAATGTAATATTAAAAAAATATGAAAATATAGTAAAGAAGTGTTTGGTCATGGAGTGCAAGATTATCTATGATTATAGGATTACCTTCTAGAATGCAGTGTAAGATTACATTTACATAGGATTACCTCAAGTTGTTTGGCTAACAGAATGTGATATTTAATTCAATTACTGCGGATAAAATCAGAGTTATGAAAGCCACCCACCATTCCTTCTCATTTTCCTAGGAGGACGTAATCTCAGAATTGGGCATATAATTTGAAAACTCTAACCAAGGTAATCAATCTCACACGTTCAAGGTGGGAAGACCCAAATCAAACACTCCCTAAGGCAATTTGATTGGTTAGGGTATAATGTTAGATAACCATGGATTATGGCCTCTTTATTTGTTCACATCAATCAGATTACCTTTGTAACATTACTGCCATGCTATGTAGCACCGATACCAGTACGCGGAAAAACGGAAACGAGTTCGGGGATACGTCAAAACAAAAAAAAGTAGGATACGGGGCCATATTTATAAATATTAAAAGTTATGGGGGTGTATTTACAATTATTAAAAGTTATAAGGGTCTATTTATAAATATTAAAAATAGATTTTTTGAATATATATATATATATATATATATATATATATATATATATATACACACATATAATGAGTAACGATCCTGTCCAGCCGGAGGGACAGGACCCGCCGTCCGGCCGTCACCATTTGGAGCCCTTCCCGGTGGAATTTTTTGCTGAATTTTTTTGAGCATGTTCTTCATGAAGTCTAGTTTATCCATACCAAATTTCAGCTAAATATTCAATCAGGAAGGCAGTCAAATGATTTTTAGAAGTTAACTACGCACTTTATATACATATAAAACGCAGTCATCTTCCAAAAATCATTTGAATGCCTTCCCGGTTGAATTTTTAGCTGAAATTTGGTATGGATAAACTAGACTTCATGAAGAATATGCTCAAAAAAATTCATCAAAAAATTCCACCGGGAAGAGCCCCTGATGGCCTTGGCCAGACGGAGCTTCCTGTCCATCCGGATGGACATGATCTTTTTCC